CTTGGCCTGAAGCGCATCCTCTTGACTGCTGCCATAGCTAACACTGCTCTCTTCAGAGCCTCAGCATTTGACTAGAACAGAGATACATCAAATACACAATAGAAATCAATAACATTGCACTTACCGTTCCGTCCTTGGGCCCACTCCGATTGACAGCTCTCGCACCCCGAGTTCCAGCCCGCTGTGATCTGATCTCCACATACGGCACAAGCTTACGCTGTATGTGGACACGTCAGATAAGATATCGCGGCAACAAGCAAACACTTACCTTTCCGAGAACAGGAACAGGTGAGCCCGTCACACTATCTCTCTCCGCACGTATGACCCCAGTTCGTACCGACGCACTGCGTAGAACGCGACGCGAGCCGACAGGAGGATCCGACGCGGGAGGACTACTCGCGAGCGGGGTCAACGAGGATCGCGTGAGCGGAGTCAGTGAGGATCGCGCGAGCGAAGTCAACGAGGATCGCGCGAGTAACGCCCCCTCTACTCCTGCAGCTTCGTCTCCGCTCTCGTCGTCAACCCACTGCTGAGCGCGCCGTCTACGCGCGGAAGCTCCGACTTCGCGATCGCTTACCGGATCGGTAGGTACGTTGTCGACTGCGCCGTCGAAGTCCACGACCTGCGCCGCTGCCTCTGCATGGCGCGCTGCCTCTGCGCGGCGCTGTGTTGCCACCACTAACCTTTTGGCAGCACTTCTATTTCTTTTTTTCTTGTTTTGACCTAACCCAGCATCCGCGACGACGTTCGTCACGGTCTCAGCGTCCGCGATGCCATCTGACACGGTTTCGGCGTCCGCGACGACGTCTGACGCGGTCTCGGTGTCCGCGACGACATCTGACACAGTCTCGGTGTCCGCGACGACGTCCGACACGGTCGTGGACACGACTGACGGCGGCCCCCTCATCCGGGGACGTGGAACCTATCAAGAGGTCAATATTTCACCCATAAGTTCATTTGTTTGTCCTTACCACTTTTCTCTGAAGTTTTCCAGTCGCAGCCACCCCGCGCTCCGTACCGAGTCCCGCTGCAACATCGCGCGCCCACCTAGCGGACTTTCGCGCTGCGCGGTTCGGGCGTGTCACGTCCGTCCCATCGAGTGCGCGCTGTCCTCCTCCGGGCCTCCCGATGGCCTGCGCGCAATTTTGTTATGAGGTAAGTCCTTTGTTACAAGGTGAGTACTTACCTGCCAGCCGTCAACCTCCCTTACCGTCTCTGCAACCCCCTCTTCTCTCTCGTCCGCACTCACACCCTCGCGCTGAACATCCGCGCCTTCCGGAGCGCCTGCTTTCGACAGCGCGCGCTCCGGAAGTTTGTTGTTACTGGAGTCCTGCATGTTAGCTAAGGTACGTACTTAATCCTAGTATGTCTTGCAGGTAGATGTCAGCAGAGAGCAGCGGTAAGAAAAGATCGCTACTTCCGGATATGCAGACTGACCTTGTTTTAGGGTTATTCGCTCGATTGAGCGACGGACATTTAATGTCCAACAACCACATCGAGCGCACCGCGCGCGAACCCTCGCACACCATTCAACGCAACTAAAGGTATGTCTCAAATCTTTCATTCTATAGTTCTACATTTACTGGTTTTACATGTACATTCAGGTCCTCGCCACTCAAACTAGCATCCCCCAGCCGGCCGCCCTCTCGCTCCACACTCCTCTCGCCCTCGCGCCCCATTCTCCCGCGCCCGCGCACAGGGCGCGCTCTCCGCGTTCCAGGCGCTCCTGCCCGACCTCCGCGCGGGCGCGTTCCTGCGCCAGCTGCTGTTCAGAACGACCGGTGCCCGATAAAAAATAAGCGCGTGAATGTCATTTCGGACCAGTGCTGTAGTGACGACGATCAATGGTGTACGAACAACAGTACGTGCACCTCCTTTCACTCTTCTCCAAC